GGGCAAAGCACCACACACAACTACTTCAGAACCATACAACCTATCACACAAACCCAACAACACACTACAATCCATACCCGCAGCTGCCACCCAACATCGAGAGTATAGAATCACTAGTATGCACCAGGTCTCCCCACCCACAGGCCCCCAAAACCTCAGTTGTTGCGAAAAGGAAACTGAAGGTATGGTACACAAACGCTGATGGTATAACATAAGTGGGAAGGAGTGGAACGAAAGAGTCAAAGAAGCTCACGGACATCATAGCTCTTACAGAAACCCAAGCTTACAGGTATGGACACAGTGCACACAACCGAGGATGAAGTGAAGAGGTCTCTGAGTGAGCTTAAGATACCCACATAGAATGGGGCCAGATAACATCTCCCCATGGGTATTGAGAGAGGGAGCGAAGGCGCTATGTGTACCCCTAACAACAATATTCAAACATCTATCCGAAACGGGAGATTGCCTGGGATAAGACAGCAAATGTAGCCCCAAATCTTTAAAAAAGGAGACAACATGAAGTTTTTAAAATACAGAACCATGTCCTGAATGTATAGAATCCCAAAATCATGGAGAAGATTATCGGGAAAAAGAGGGGGGAAAACCCCTAAAAAGGAAAAAATTCATCACGCAGCCGATGGTTTCAGGGAGGGGAAACTTTTTAAAAAATACTGGAGTTCTATGAAAAGGGACAGCAGTAAAAAGAGAGAGGGGTGGTGGATTGCATTTTTTGGACTGAAAGAAGGCGTTTAAAACTTTCCCCCACAAAAATTTGGTGCAAAAACGGGGCCCAAAGCAGGGAAAAGGGGAAGGCACAAAATGGATCAGGGAATACTTTCGGGAAGAAGCAGGGTCATGGTCGGGCGAGGGCAGAGGGGCCCTGTGCCCGCGGGGTCCCGCGGGTCGTCTGGACCAGTGCTGTTTCTGGTTTTTTTGTAAACGACAGACGGAAGGAAGACTCTGAGGTGTCCTTTTTGCAGAGACGTAAGTTGATGAGAAAGAATCCCCTCGATCAAAGCCCAGGCGAACTAAAAAAGGGATCGGACAGGCGCAGACCTGGTCCAGCAATTGGCCCCCTGGATTTAAAAATCCACCAATGAAAAGTCATGAAGTTTGGGGAAGGGCAAAAAAGGGCGCGACGGAGTACAGTCGGGGGGGTCGAGACTAAAAACCCTCACTAAAGGAAAAGTCTTGGGGTGAGTATAAACCCCCAGGCACACTCCCGAAACGCACTCAACCAAATAATTCTGCGATTGGGCGCCCCAGCAAACCTAAACAGCACCGACTTTAATAAGGAAACGTTCAGGCCCTGTACACCGTATAGTTAGGGGCCCAAAGGAGTTCGGGACCAGTTTGGAACCCACACCTAGCCAACACGTAAAGAAACTAAGAAAGTGCAAAGGGGTTTTCAAAAAAACTGTCCCAAGTAAGAGGTTTGTCCCCAGGAGAGGTTAAGGGAAATCAAACCGACGCATGGAGGGGCAGGGGGATAGGGGGGACATGAAACGACATACAAAAAACGGGGGATTTTAAAGGTGGACAAAAAAGGATGTTCAGATTTGGACACGCAAAAAGGGGACCCCCAAATTGGGGTAAAGACAAGATGAATCACAGGGATGTTGGAAATATTTCTTCAGCCACAATGTAGAAAGTGGAATATTTGGGAAGCGATGTAGTGGGGGCAGGATCCATACATGCTTTAAGAAGGTAGAAAAAGCCCCGGTCGGGGGAGTGCCTGTAGCGATCAGTAAAGAGGCGGGGCCCGGAGCCGGACTCGACCCCCGCAACCCAACTGTGAGTACAATAGGGAGTACACCACCAACCCCACAACACACCACACAAAACCCAACCACCCCCAACCCCCCCCCCCCCCCTTACACACACACAAAACACACACACACCCACCCCAAAACCACACACAAAACCCCCGGCAACACACACCCCAAACCACACACACACACACACCACACACACACCCCAAACACACCCCCCACGCAGCAAAAAACCAACACACACACAACACACACACACACACACACACACAACACACACCCCCGCACCACCCAGCACACACCACACCAACACACACACACCACACACACACACCACCACACACACACACGAAACACACACCACACACACCACACACAACCCAAAACCCACCCCCACCCCCAAACACACCCACCCACCCCCACCCCAAACGCATACACACCCACACACCAAAAAACCCACACACACACAAAACACACACACAAACACCATACACACACACACACACACACACCACACAAACACACACACACACACACACACACACACCCCCAAACCACCACACACACAACCCACCCACCACCACACACACACCACACACACCCCCCACCCCAAACACACCACACACACACAAAACACCACACACACACACACACACACACACACCACACACACACAAACCCCACACACACGCATACACACACCACAACACAACACACACACACACCACACACACACACAACACGCCCACCCACACGCATACACACAACCACACCACACAACACACACCACCACACACACACCACAAACACACCCACACACACGATACACACCACACACCACACACAACAACACACACACACACACACACACACACAAACAAAAGCATACACACACACCAACACACACACCCCCACACACACACACCACACACACCACACACACACACAAATTGGACACAGTAAAAAGGGGCCAGTTGGAAGCTAAAGACACAGATAAAAATACAGGGAGTTGGGAAGTATTTCTTCACCCACAGAGTGTCAAAAAGTGGAATGTTAGGGAAGCGTGTGTGGAGGCGGGACCATAAAGCTTTAAGCAGAGGTAAAAAAGCTACGGCCGGGAAAGGACCTAGTGCGACTGAAGGGGGGGGCAGGAGCTGGGGACCGCCCCGCAACCCAACTAGGGAGTACAACTAGGTGGTGACACACCACACACCACCACAACCCAATATATTTTAATTATATTATATTATTATATTTTATATTATATATATATATATTAAATATAACACAAACAAAACATTTTGATACAAACAAGCAACAAAAACGGGCCAACTGTTTTTCGAAAGTTTTCTACACCCGATAAATAACACGGGTTTTTTTACCCTTTCTGACCCCCGCTGACGTACCCCGAACCATTTAAAGCCCTTGAGAAGAAAGGGGTTTTGGGGCACGTACAGGCAGCCTGCGGGTTGCAGCCCGGGGCGTAAGTACAGGATGACAACACCTTTAAGGAGAGAGAAAGCGGGGAAAAAAATTTTAAAACCATCACTAAGTTTGCAGTCACATGATGGGAGATCGAGAAGATCACGGGAAAATCAAAAAATTTCAACTGAGGTTGGTAAATTTAAGTGAGGTTGGTAAGTTTAAGCGAGAGTGGAAAATTTAAACTGAGAGTTGGTAAGTTTAAGCTGAGAGTTGGTAAAGTTTAAGCTGTGAGTTGGTAAATTGTAATAAAGTTGTAGAATTACCGACAAAAGTAAAGTAAAAGGACACAAGGGAAAATGTGACATTTATTGGCACGTTTGCCTCCAGGGCTTTTTAAAGCTTTATAAAAATCCGGGGAGCAAAAAAGTTGCCACAATAAATTTTCACATTTTGTTGCACTTGTGTCCTTTTATTTACAGTTGGTAATTTTTTAAACTTGGTTGGTAAGTTGAAACTGAGAGTTGGTAAGTTCAGCTGGAGTTGGAAGTTTAAGCGGGGAGTGGGAAGTTCAAGTGTGAGTTGGTAAGTTTAAGCTGTGAGTTGGTAAATTTTAAGCTGGAGTGGTAAGTTTAAGCTAAAAAAGTTGGTAATTTTGCTGAGAGTTGATAAGTTTAAGTTGAGTTGGTAAGTTCAAAGCGAGATTGGTAAATTCAAGTAGAGTTGGGAAGTTAAGCTGGAGTTGGGAAATTCAAACTGAGAGTTGGAAGTTCAAGCTGAGAGTTGGGAATTTTAAGTGAGAGTTGGTAAGTTCAAGCTGAGAGTGGGGAATTCAAGCTGAGAATTGGGAAGTTTTAAACTTAGGTGTGGTGTTCAAACTTTGGAACTTATAATTATAACTTCAAGATCTCGGTTTTATCATTTTTTAAAATTTAATAAAAAAATTTTTATTAATTTGAAACAATATGTTTCTCAATCAATTATATTTTTTACATTTCTTATTAAAATTTTTCTCATGTTCATTATTTTTTAAACACTTTTATATAAATAATAACAAACATAAAAATTTATATACCCTGTGTTTTGGTTTTTTACTGCAAAAAGCAGAGTTTATATTAAAATTTAAAAATAGTTATATTATAAAAATATAAATATTATATATATATATATATATATTATATAAAATATATTAATATAATATTTTTAAAGTCGTGCCGAATAGGGAGAAATTGCGATCTTGGCAAAAAAGCAATGCTCATCTGCCATATAGGACAAGGAAAATTTTTTAAGCAAAATTTCGCCAAAATCATTCTAAACCAAAAGAAAAAAAATTATTTCCTGTGTTTTTTTTAGTAATTTTAAAAACTGTAAAAAAATCTAAAAAAAATTTAGTTGGGTTAAGCTAAAATAAATTGTGCTTTTATAATAAGGTTAGTTAAGTTTTCTAAGATTCTTTTGGTGCAAATTATAAATTTTTACATTAGCATTAATGAAAAAAATATATCTTTAAACGTATAAGAGAAAATTTTAGAAAAGACTTAATTTTAAATGTGTTCTTGCTAATTGACCAGTTTTACATATTCGGCACGACATATTATATATATATATATATATATATATATATTATATATATATATATATATATATATATATATATATATATATATATATATATATATATATATATTATATATATATTATATATATATATATATATATATATATATATATATATATATATATATATATATATATAGTATATACTTCTGTGATTTGATTTACAGTAAATTAGTTTATATGGTGCAGGTATAGACGTGGGTCCGGTGATCGCAGGTGTAGTGGGAGCCAAACCCATGTATGACATATGGGGGAACACTGTCAATGTGTCGTCGAGGATGGACTACACCGGCGAGATGGGCATGATACATGTAGGTAAACTGGCATCAGCATTATTTCTGTAATATTGAGAAAATCATTTACTAGCCATACACATTGATCTATGAGAAATAGAGCGAAAATATTTACCTCGTAGTTGAAGACCCTCTTGGGACAAGTAGTCTTAACAGCTGTTCTTATCGCCGGGTCACCATCTGGAGAAGACCCGGGCCGGAAGTACCGGCGAATCATCAAGATGTTCTTATTGTATTCGCTAGGGAACATTACTTGACCTGGGTTTGTGTCATCTGGTGTCGTTAACTCTATGATAGGCGCAGCGAGAAGCAACTGTTGGTTAGCGCTGCTCTATAATGTCGAGTCTAATAACAGATGTGAATGTGGGTAGCTCTTGGATTTTTGATGGGCCAAGGCAGAACGACTTCTGACTTAAGGTGGATTCAGTCGTATAAGTTAATTTATCAGTTAATGTTGCTGCTAATATTTCAGGGTAACAAAAAGCTGACACAGGTCTTTTTCTGTAAGGTGACCTTTTCTCTACTGCCGACTGTACATTCTAGTAATTGTAGGATGGTGTCTTGGGGCACGTTGTACCTGTACTGAACTTAATGGTCAGAGTATATCTTAAAATTTAGTGGGTTATTAGTTGGGAAATATCACTTAACACCCATCCAGAGGTGTTGATATTGTGGTGGGGACGCAGCAAGAGGTGATATTTAAGGAAATGGGAATGCTGAGTAGCTGTCAGCTCCTAGCTTATTGGTGTCGGACTCACTGGTCCGGTGTTTAAGAACATAAGAACACAAGAAAGAAGGAACACTGCAATGGGCCTACTGGCCTATGCGAGGCAGGTCCAATTCTCCCACCGGCTTAAGCCAATGCATTGACCTAGTGAGATCAGACACGTCACTTAAGGGATGAGCACGGCATCCGACCTAGTAACACAAGCTAGTCAGGTCAAACTCACACCCACCCACACCCACTCATGTATTTATCCAACCTATTTTTAAAACTACACAACGTCTCAGCTTCTATGACTGTACTCGGGAGTTTGTTCCACTCATCCACAACTCTACTACCAAACCAGTGCTTTCCTATATCCTTCCTGAATCTGAAATTTTCCAATTTAAAGCCATTGCTGCGAGTCCTGTCTATGTTAAATATTTTTAGCATGCTATTTACATCCCCTTTATTAATTCCTGTTTTCCATTTGTACACCTCAATCATATCCCTCCTAATTCTACGCCTTTTTAGAGAGTGCAGATTCAGGGCCCTCATTCTATCCTCATAGGGAAGATTTCTGATGCATGGGATCAAGTTTGTCATCCTCCTTATATCCTTACTGTAATATGGTAACCAAAACTGAGCAGCATAATCTAAATGAAGCCTAACCAAAGCTATATAGAGTTGAAGAACAACCTGAGGACTCCTATTATTTATGCTTCTTGTATGAAGCCAAGAATTCTGTTCGCTTTATTGCGAACACTAATGCACTGTTGTCTTGGTTTTAGATTACTGCTAACCAGAACTCCCAAATCCTTTCCACAATCAGTTATATTAAGATCTACATTATTTAGTTTATATGTGGCACGATTATTTTCCTGTCCAATGCTTAGAACTTTGCATTTGTCTATATTAAATTTACTGCATCTGCCACTTCTCCGACCACTGCATCAGTCTTTTCAAATCTTCCTGGAGTGCTCTAATGTCCTCGTCAGAATGAATTCGTCGGCCTATTTTGGTGTCATCGGCAAACTTGCTTGTATCGTTATTTATTCCCTCATCTATGTCGTTTATGTACATTGTGAACAACAAGGGGCCCAACACTGACCCCTGAGGAACACCGCTTGTGACGTGCCCCCATTCTGATTTCTCCCCATTTATGCAAACTCTCTGCTGCCTATTTGTCAACCATGCCTCTACCCAGGAAAAAAATTCTCCTCCTATTTTGTGTGCCTTAAGTTTCCTCAATAGCCTCTGATGTGGAACTCTATCGAAAGCCTTACTGAAGTTCATATACGCAATATCATATTGAATACCATGATCTACCTCCTCAAATACCTTAGTGAAAAAAAGTTAGTAAATTCGTAAGACAGGAACGCCCCTTTGTAAAACCGTGTTGAGATTCATTAATCAATTTATGCCTTTCAAGATGCCTATGAATTGCTTCGGCAATTATTGATTCCATAAATTTTCCCACTATGGAGGTAAGGCTTATTGGTCTATAGTTCGAAGCTAAGGCCTGTCACCTGCCTTGTAAATAGGTATTACATTTGCCATTTTCCACTTATCAGGCACTATGCCAGTTTGTAGTGATAAGTTGGAAAGATTAGCCAAATGTATGCTAAGTTTCTCTTTACATTCCTTTAACACCCTTGCAAACAGTTCATTAGGGCCTGGGGATTTGCTAGGTTTTAGTTTCTCTATTTGTCTGAGGACCATGCCACTAGTTACCGAAATCGTGCATAGTTTATTGTCCTGTTCTACATAATCTATTATTTCTGGAATTTCGCTAGTATTTTCCTGGGTAAAAACTGAGAGGAAGTAGGTACTGAAAATTTCACACATATCCTTACCACTGTCAGTGGTCTGACCTGAGTTACTCTTAAGTGGGCGTATCTTGTCCCTAATCTTACTTCTTTATACCTGAAAGAACCCTTATGGGTTAGTCTTCGAATCCCTTGCGACCTTAGCCTCATAATCCCTTTTTGCTTTTCTTATTCCTTTTTTATATTTCTGTGTTTAATTGAATATATTGATTTCTTAACTGCCCATCCCCTCCTTTGATGTGCTTGTATATGCCTCTCTTTTGACCAATGAGATGTTTTAATCCATTGTTCATCCATTTGGGATCATTTTTGTTAGATCTAATTTCCCTACTCGAAACAAAAGTTGTCTGGGCAGCTAGAACTATGCTCTGAAAAACGTCTTATTGGCAACCAAGGCCACCTACCTGACCCATAGTCAGGTCATCCCAATTTAGCTCACCCAGGTAATTTTTCAGTTCCATGAAATCGGCCAAGCGAAAATCTGGGACATAGATTTGATTGCAGTTATCTGGGTAATTCCATGATATATTGAAACTAAGTGATTTGTGATCGCTTTTCCCAAGCTCATCATTAACCTCAAGATTATTAATTAGTGATTCTTTGTTGGCAAGAACCAAGTCAGGCAGATTGTTTCCTCTAGTTGGTTCTGTCACAACCTGTTCTAAAAAGCAATCCTGAACCGTATCAAGAAAGTCATTAGACTCAAGATTTCCTGTCACATTGTTCCAATCAGTTTGTCTAAAGTTAAAATCTCCCATTAATACAACATTTTCATATTGAGATGCCTTACGAATTTCGTCGCATTACAGCTTACTGCACTCCCTATCAAGGTTTGGGGGCCTGTAAATCACACCCAAAATTATTTTGTCATGACCCTCGAGAAAATGTAGCCGAACAGATTCTGTGTCCGATGTTTCTAATCTTATATCATGTCCAAAACAACAATTTAAAATTTTTCTGACATACATCGCCACTCCACCACCCTTCCTGTTGACCCTATCAGTGTGGAATAGTTTATAACCCTGTATGTTGCATTCAGAAGGCATTTCTCTATCTTTCAGGCTGAACCAGGTCTCTGCTATAGCAATAATATCTATATTTCCTGCACTTCCAAGTAATCTTACCTCATCTATTTTATTTCTTAGACTACTACTATTTGTATAGTAAACCTTAAGGGAGCTAGTCACTCGTGCCTACTACTATCTCTCTTTGTTTGTTGATCAATTGTTTTGCCATTACTAGCAACTTTATTTTGAATATTGTCTTTTAAACATACCCTGAGGTATTCTGGTAATATCTGCTGCTTTCAACCCTAATACTGCAGCCTGATTGTTTCCCACAAACACCCATATCTCTATAATCTATCAGTTTAAAGTCCTAGACAAGTCATAAATTACCCCTCAATCGAATTGGCTAATGCAACCACTCCAGCCCCAGAGAGATGAACCCCATCCCTTACATACATATCATGCTTGCCATTGAATTTGTCCTAGTTATCAATGAATGGGGTTGCAAGTTCCTTGCAGTACCTGTCTAGCCAGCAATTTATACCAATTGCCCGAGACATCAATTCATTGCCCACTCCCTTTCTAACAAGATGCTACATATGATTGGGATTCCTCCCTTAGACCTGACTACTTCTTTGGCTGACCTGTACTTATCCAGTAGCACCTGTCTTCTGCCCTTCCCAGTGTCATTACCCCAGCACTAAGACAGATAATGGGCTTGTTCCCATTATCTGACATAATATTATCCAACCTGCTGATTATGTCACCAACACCAGCTCTCTGTTACAAAAAGCACGGTCCATATATCTTACCTGAGAATCTCCTACAATTAGAATATTCTTACCATGATTAGCAGGGGAGTCAGTGATACCTTTAACCTCACTAACCACTGAAGTACACTCGTTCTGGAGAACAGAGAATCGATTTCCGACATTCACATAATCTCTTTTAACCCTCCTTATCTTCCTTCTTCCTGAGCTGTGAACCACTTGCCACCTTCTTCAACACATTAACCTGAGATTCCAAAACACTACAACACGCCATGGTGCTTGGTAACACCCCACACTAACTCCCAGAGAGCTTAGGAGAGGTATGACCACACGTGACCACTGACCTGAAAGAGGCTCATCAAACAGGCCACAATATTTTTGTTGTTTTTAATTTTCAAATTTTGCAATAAATTTTTGACTTTAGGAGTTTTTCAGTTACATAAAAGTTATCATCAATAATTATTATTATATGTAAAATAAATTACTGCCTGTATAAAAAGATCCTTTGCATATTCGCATTAAAATCATGCTTTCCAGACGACGCCAGAAGTAGGAGAGATCCTACGAGAGTTGGGATGGAGTGTACAGTGCCGAGGAGACATTTTTGTCAAAGGTAAAGGAATAATGACTACATACTTTGTGGATCCCAGGAGTGTCCCATGTGAGCCAGAAGTCTCTGCTCCCATCAACGATAACATCCCCGCTCCGGACCCACTTAATGAGAGGAGGCGAAGTAGCCAGCTGAGTGTGTCCTCCTTGATGGCTCTCCTGTCATCTCAGAGAGGCAGTTTAGACATCAACACAGGCAAAGACGATGACGACACACAAAGCGATCAGTCTTTTCCTATATATAGATTAATTACGGATGGAGAAGAAACTCCTCTGCAAACCAATGATCAAGTACTTGAAACGGCAGCTATGGATCCTCCCTACAGTTTGGATTCAAGAACTGAAACCCATGAAGAACTCGAAAATATATCAACCCTACCGCCATCTGGAAGTAACTGACTTTAATTCTGAGGTTCATGACACTCAAAGGGACATTGACGTGTTCTAATATTTTATACCAAAGAGAGATACACATTTTCAGGCGTTGTTGGGTCAGATATGAATACTTCTGTTGGTATACCAAAGGTATGTCAATCAAGTAAGTCTTCAGGTTGCTCCTAATTCAGAGTTACCAGTGTTGTGTTAGCAGGTCCTTGCCTCAGTAGTCATTTGTACTAGACATCCATTATTATGCAAGGTCACTCGTAGCTCAATGATAGACCATTCAGCTCACCACTGAATGAACTGTGGTTCAGTTCCCAGGTAAGATAAGATGTTCGGGGAGTCCCTTACACCTGCTGCCTCTGTTCACCTAGCAGTAAATAGGTACGTGTGCGTTAGCTGACTATTGTGGGTCACATCCTAGGTAAGAGGACTTAAGAACCACATTTTAAGCCACACTGTTTGGTTTTCTTGGGTTAAAAACTCTCTGGGGTCAGTGTGCATAAGAATATTTTTTACTTTTTCTCTTATTGTTTTCAAGAAAGCGTCAAGTTTCATGTGTCCCAGTCTTCGAGAACGAAGGTGTGGCGGAGCATGAACTCAGGGCCAGAATACGTGCTGAGCCTGGCGCTAGTATACAGATTAATAGGCATTTAATACCTGATTGTGGTGGACAGAATAGACATGTAGCGCCTGGCGTCGATGGACAAGTCAGTAGAATGAAACACCTGGCACTGGAAAGGCGTCAGTTCAGCCTCCTCACACAATCACACTTGAGTCACAAAGCGAATAATGTGCGAGAAAATGTGATACTAGTAATACTTTATCATGTTACTAAATGTTCAAATGCTCTTAGGTTGCTAAACTATTTACAGTGTACATAATAGCTTATGGTATATTTTTATGATAGCAGTTACTCGGGTATATAATTACAATCAGTTTGGTCTGAGGCAGATGTGTCAGCGTTACTTCAATACGCTATTAAAGCAATAAGTAAGAAATATATTTATCCTTACTCCGCTCCTTCAATTAAAGGAGGGAGTGCCTTCGTGCGGGTAAAGTACTCTTGATCCACGGAACTGGAGTTACCTCTATTCTTATATCAAACCTGATTTCCACCCATTTACCAGGCGTTATAGCACAACAGTTGGTTTTGTGGATGTTATATTAATAGTCATGTGCGAGCTAACCCATGAAGGTCATACGGCTACTCAGAAATGAGAAATAACAAGTTGGATCCAAGGAAAGGAAGATAACTTCAGTTTGTTGGATCGAGCTCTTCACCAGGATTAATTGAGGAACCCTTTGGAAGAGGTGCATAAAATATTAGGCCAATATATTACAAAGTTATATGTGGATGAAAGAGCCACAAACAATCCAAGGAAAACTGAATATATAACATTACTCACTCTTCTTTACGTTTCCTTTCTGGTGAAGACTTCTGTAGATATTCTATGAGATACATCGCTTAAATGTATTTGTCATCCTTTTGAGTCAAAACTTGCGGACATTGCTTATAAAGGAGCGATAATTTAGGGACAATTACGTACGCGAGATCTATTTTGCTAGAATATTAACCCACTTAGGATTTTTCAATCAATGAGATAATCTATTAGAAATATCGCCCATAGTGGGCGATAAATCACCTAATAAAATGTTCTAAACTATTCCACATTATCTGGGTATTAACATACATTGTACCGAACATCACTTCCACAAGCTAAGTATATGTTTATTTTTGTTATAATTGCAAAAATCTATTTGAACATATTAAAATATTTCATTGATATAAAATAATACTGACTAATTTAGTAAAGTTAGACCATTTTGCGAAGTTATTTGAGAAATACGAGTTTGTATATAATGTTTAGTGACGTAACAATGTTTATATATTAATAAGAGAATAAGATACGAAAAACAATTGATGAAAGTTCAATGAGACTGACCGGTGTTGACTGGAGTATATGTCAACATTGAGGTGACTGGATCTTCCATTTATGGTGATCGTTGTATCGAACCTGATTACCTCCTATTTCTTAGGTGCTTCCCCATGAGTAAAATATCAGAAAAAAAATAGTACAAATCCCACTGTCTTTTATTCTTGTACTTGCTCACATTTTTAAGGTAATCACAACTTATTTATAATTATTATCATGTCTTCTTCTTGTGTTCACTGGAAAGCTTTAAACCAGTAGGGTTCTTACAGTACCTGGGGAATGGAAGGTAATCAGGTTTCATCCGAGTGAAAGGGGGGATTCCTCAAATTCCTTGGATCAAGAGACACCAGCATCACAACACACTCCACTAAAGGGTGTTCTTATTTTAAGCCGATGCTGTGTATTGTACCATAATAACTGAATAATAACATATCGTGGAAGCCTTAAACTAAGTGTTACAATAAAATATACCACTGTTACCAATGTTTTCTTCTGATATAACTGAATTTCAGACACTTAAAATACTGAACTTTTGTGTACATTATATTTTACTAAGTATCTTATATACTTTATAAAGCTGAAGATTTTGTAAAGTATTTATCACTTTGACTTGAACTGATGTGCGTAATATATCAGGTAGTTGTAAATATGTATATTATATTATGTGGAAGGTAATAAGGGAGGTAATAAGGGAGGTAATAAGGGAGGTAATAAGGAAGGTAATAAGGGAGGTAATAAGGGAGGTAATAAGGGAGGTAATAAGGGAGGTAATAAGGGAGGTAATAAGGAAGGTAATAAGGGAGGTAATAAGGGAGGTTATAAGGAGGTAATAAGGAAGGTAATAAGGGAGGTAATAAGGAAGGTAATAAGGAAGGTAATAAGGGAGGTAATAAGGGAGGTAATAAGGAAGGTAATAAGGAAGGTAATAAGGAAGGTAATAAGGAAGGTAATAAGGGAGGTAATAAGGAAGGTAATAAGGAAGGTAATAAGGAAGGTAATAAGGGAGGTAATAAGGAAGGTAATAAGGGAGGTAATAAGGAAGGTAATAAGGGAGGTAATAAGGGAGGTAATAAGGGAGGTAATAAGGAAGGTAATAAGGAAGGTAATAAGGGAGGTAATAAGGAAGGTAATAAGGGAGGTAATAAGGGAGGTAATAAGGAAGGTAATAAGGGAGGTAATAAGGAAGGTAATAAGGGAGGTAATAAGGAAGGTAATAAGGGAGGTAATAAGATGTACTAGGTCAGGAACTTGTAAAAAATAAAGAATTAGATTTATGGTGTTTTGTATTCTCTAGACGACATACAATGTTATTTATGTGAATGTTGAGATCATTTATAAATAAATGTTGAAATGTATCATGAGATGAATTTTTATTATAAACATCATAGCAGAATATCTACATATACTAACAGTCATTCTCTCTGAAAGCTCTAAACCCGTAAGAGGAAATAGGGAGTTTTGTCCGCCATGAGAATTTAAAAAAAATGTGATGTGATTCATACGATAACTCGATTTATGGAGAATTTGATCATTTACGTTCAGTGATTTACTAAGTTACTGTGTATAAAACCTACAGTATATTGTATGTGTTTTTTTTAACAACAGGGAAGAACACATATTAACACATAGGAAAAGCAGTTACCTGGATACCTGGAGGTTACCTGGAGGTTATTCCGGGGATCAACGCCCCCGCGGCCCGGTCCATGACCAGGCCTCCCGGTAGATCAGGGCCTGATCAACTAGGCTGTTACTGCTGGCCGCACGCAGTCCAACGTACGAGCCACAGCCCGGCTGATCCGGCACTGACTTTAGGTATCTGTCCAGCTCTCTCTTGAAGGCAGCCAGGGGTTTATTGGCAATTCCCCTAATTCTTGATGGGAGGCTGTTGAACAGTCTTGGGCCCTGGACACTTATGGTGTTTTCCCTTAGTGTACCAATGGCGCCCCTACTTTTTATTGGGGGCATTTTGCATCGCCTGCCCAGTCTTTTACTTTCGTAGGGAGTGATTTCTGTGTGCAGATTTGGGACCATTCCTTCCAAGATATTCCAAGTGTAGATTATGATATATCTCTCCCTCCTGCGCTCCGACGAGTACAAGTCAAGTGCTTCCAAGCGTTCCCAGTAGTTATAAGGTGCTGACAGAACTTATACGTGCAGTAAAGGATCTCTGTACACTCTCTAGATCTGCGATTTCACCTGCTTTGATGGAGATGTTAATGTACAGCAGTATTCCAGCCTGAGAGAGAATAAGTGATTTGAAAAGATCATCATTGGCTTGGCATCTCTGTTTTGAAACGTTCTCATTAATCCATCCTATCATTTTCTTTGCACATCGATCGTGGCACTGTTGTGATCATTGAAAGTGAGATCCTCAGACATTACTACTCCCAGGTTCCTTACATTATTTTTCCACTCTATTGTATGGCCAGAGTCTGTAGTATCTCTGTTCTAGTTATTATCTCCTCCAGTTTCCATACGGAGTAGTTGGAATTTGTCCTCATTGAACATCATATTGTTTACCGTTGCCCACTGGAAAACTTTGTTTATATCTTCTTGGAGGTTAACCGGTCCTCAGCAAAATGACAGCCTCATGCAGATCCTAGTATCATCCGCAAAGGATGATACGGTGCTGTGTGTATATCTCTGTCTATGTCTGATATGAGAATAAGGAAAAAGATTGGGGCGAGTACTGTGCCTTGTGGAACATAGCTCTTCACTATGGCAGCCTCCGATTTAACTCTGTTGACCACTACTCTTTGTGTTCGATTTGTTGGGAAGTTGAAGATCCATCTCCCCACTTTCCCAGTTATTCCTTTAGAAACGTATTTTATGGGTTATTACGCCATGATCGCATTTGTCAAATGCTTTTGCAAAGTCTGTGTATATTACATCTGCATTCTGATTTTCTTCCAGTGATCCAAGGCCATATCATAGTGATCCAGTAGTTGTGAGAGGCAGGAGCGATCTGCCCTGAACCATGTTGCCTGGATTGTGCAGATTTTGGGAATCCAGGTGATTTGCAACCCTGCTTCTTAGCACTCTTTCAAAGATTTTTATGATTGGCGTCAGAGCTATTGGTCTATAGTTCTTGGCAAATGCTTTGCTGCCACCTTTATGGAGTGGGGCTATATCCGTTGTTTTAAGTGACTGTGGAATTTCACCCATGTCCAAGCTCCTCCTCCATAGTGTACTTAGGGCAGCGAGAGGGGTTTTTGCAGTTCTTAATGAAAACAGATTTCCCACGAGTCTGGGCCCGGGGCTGAGTGCAGGGGCATGTTGTAAATGGCTTTTTCGAAATCTATCGGAGTTAGGGTAATGTCGGAAATCTGGCATACATTTATGGAGTTTGGGGCTCATTCATGAAGAAATCATTTGGGTCGTCGATCCTCAGACCGATTAGTGATTCACTAAACACAGAATCGTATGGGATTTCAATATTTCACTCTTTTCCCTTGTTGTCATCTGTGTAAGTCCCTTCTGAGTAAGGGCCCCGATACTAGATGTGGTATTGCCTCGTTTTTGGCATATGAAAAGAAATATTTTAAATTTTCTTTCAATTTCACAAATAGCTTTAAGCTCTTCCTGTCTCTCCTGGTTCCTGTAAGAATCATTTAACTTAAGTTCGTAGTTTCACTTCCCTGGTCAACGCCTCCTTTCGTGTATCAGATATTCTAGCACTCCTGATGAGCTCAGTGACTCTTCGTCGTCTTCTGTAGAGGGAGCGTCTTTCTCTCTCCAGTTTACCCCTGCCTTCTTCTTTCTTAGGGGAATATGCCTAGAACATGTTTTCGGCTGCCAGGAATTGATCCTTTAAAGGGCCCACTGGTTTGGATCCATGTCATTTAAGACTCTTCCCAACTGTTTCGTTTAGGACATGGTTTACCTGGCCCCAGTTGATGTTTTTGTTGTTGAGTTGTATTTTGTGAAGACCCCTTCACAGGTACATTCATTCTGCTGATCAGGACCCCTATGCATGTACGTCTGGACTTCGATTAGGTTGTGATCGGAATTAGTTGTTTTTGAATTCTTATGTCTTTTATCAGGTCCTCATTATTTTTGAAGATAAGGTCAAGTGTGTTTTCTAGTTTGTTGGCTCCACTATCTGCTGGCTTAGGTGTGTTTTTCGCACTTATTAGCTCATGTGTGTGTGACCTTTCATCTGCGCTACCCCCGGGGGTTGTTTCAGCTATAAAAATTATTTGCTACATTCTTCCATTTTGTATGCCTTAGGTTGAAATCACCAAGCAGTAAGATGTTTGGGGGTGGGGCTGGAAGGTTTTCCAAGCAGTAATCAATTTTCAGTAGCTGTTCCTTGAACTATGTGAGGGTTTCATCTGGTGGCTTATATGCAACCACAATGACTAGGTTTTGGTTCTCGAAACTTTATTGATAGAACTTCAACTACCTCATTTGTGGTGTTCAGCAACTCCGTGCAGATGAGGGACTCTTTGAATACAGGCCAAATCCCCCTTGTTCCCCGTTCTTTTTGTCGCATCTAAAAAGATTGTAACCACTTATCCATATTTCATTGTCAAAGTGATCTTTTTTGTGAGTCTCTGTGAAGGCTGGAAACATTGCATTAGATCCTCTAGAAGTCCACTGATAAAGGTATTTTGTTGTTGGTGGAGGCTTAAAGGGCCCTGTATATTAGCAAATATGAACGGGTTGTATTCTGTGTTTGTTGGGGGATTTTGTTATTGGCATCCAGTAGTAATTTGGAGGGCCATGGGTGGCCACTGGCTGCGCCTCCAGTCCAACAAGGCTCCCCGGTGGACTATTTTTGTTATTTTCCCTTTCCCTTTTCTTTTTCCGCTTTTCCCGCCACTAAAAAATCACCTGGAGTTGGGTTGTCGTAGCTACTATTGTTTGTCTTGTGGGGTCTGTGCCTCCTGGTCCCTTTTAGATGGTATTTCAGGGCAGCGATGTTGTAACACTGCTTCTGAGGACCGAGGAGTGACACATTTTTGGGTGAAAGAAAGTACAGGAAGAAGAACGACACACTCCTTTAGAAGGAGGTCGCTACATTTTTTGGGATGCTCAAAATTGCATGTCCCCTTTTTTTCCTGATTCCATGCTTACAGATTCCCTAAAACCCTAAAATTTCACCCAATTTGCCTTGGGTTGGAATGTTGGGGTGTGTTGTCAATTTCTGCAGGTTCTGGGACTGCACTATAATCCTCAGTATCCAAGCCAGGGCCACCCCGTCCTGGATTCCATCTACTTCCTCAGTAAAGGAAGGAGGAGACTCCTCTCCAACATCTGTACTGTGGGCCACGGTCTTGTGCAATGATGGTTGTATATTTACGGTTTTAGTGATGGTTGTGGTAGGGCCCCTGGTAGAGTCTGGACTGGCAGGAGGGGTGGGGGCTGGGTCTGAGTCAGCACTGGGGCTGGGGGCTGAGCCTGGGCCAGCGGCTGGACCTGGGCCAACACCAGCATTGTGGGTATTAGTACTATGACTGGGGGATGGGTCTGGTTTAGCACTATGTGGGTGACTAGATAGTTTTGGGTCATCTGTTGTGGTATGGGCATTCTGCATTTTTTGATACACTATCTCTTACTCCCATGTTTTATATATTTTTGGTAGACAAATGCAAAATGATGACAAAAATTTAGCAACTGTGCCGTTGTAGGAAGTGTAAGTACAGAACTTTGAGAGGGAGACATTATAACTGGGTTGAGAAAGAGAGAGACGATGAATGTAAAGACTATGAGCTTACAGATAAAGAAGGATATTTATCTAAATATGTTGGACATAATTACAACCTGTCACTGCTCACTCTCAGGAGTATGCTTAACATCTGGTGACGGCTGGTGGGCTCAGATAGCTTAACATCTGATAACTGACAGATTTAGTCCTCTTAAACGCCTGTTAATTGACTTTTAAAACATATCACTCAGGTAATAGATAACAGAGCTTATTTTCTGATATATTCTTCTTTGTGAAAGATACAGTTTCACTCTCCAGTGTAACAATATCATTGTAATATTATGGGCTAGAAACCGGGTTCCTCAACTCATAAAGTACACACGTCATTTACTGTGGATAAAGATATCTTGCTCAAGAAACTGGACTACAATGAGTCCAGAGTGCTGAACCAAGTCATTTGTAATTCCTTTTCCTCCACATCCGATCGTTCGTCATCCCTTGTATTCAGGTAAGTAAAATCACATTTCACAATCTGGTAACTGTAACCATTCATGCCAGAGCACTGCTGTACTGCCAATTTGTTACGCTCTAATTTTCTTTAACTCCAGAGATGGTAGGTAGACGTCTCACTGCCTTCTCACAGTAATGGCTATATAATTTTGGGATAGGAGGCCATAAACAATTTGCTGTTCCTGAGTTTCTAAA